GAGGGACTGGGCTTCTGGCGGGGGCAGCGCCGAGGCAGTAGTTGGGTGAGATGGGGGACGCGGGGCCAGGCAGGGCCGCAGCGCTGTGGTGCCAAGGAGACACTGGCGTCGCTGGCATCCTGGGGCACAGGGAGGCCACGGAGGAGAGGGGCTGTTTTTATCCCCCGGTAGCAGCTTCTCTGATCCTTAGAGGTTGGAGGAGTGTCCTCAGGGCAGTCTCCTGCCAGGGCAGATGTCTCGCGGGACAGGACACTGAGCACATGAGTGTCGTGTCTCCTCCGGTCTTCCTGCACATCACGAGCACAGGTTTTTCGACAGTATTTCCCATTTCCCTGCAGTTCACGACACTTATCCCAAGTGTATACTTTCTGTTCAGGAATCATTTTCCAAAGAGAAGCAGGTGAAACGTGCAGGCCAGCAGGACATGGCACATCAAGGGTGACCGGCTGCTTCGGTCACGGGCTGAGCACCTTGGGCCTGAACCCTTGCAGTGCTGGAGAGAGATGTCCCGCGGGGACTGAACACACGCAACGCTGGTAGAGGCAGAGCTAGAGACTGCCTGGGCACATCCAGGGGCCTGGGGAAGGGCCTCTTTGGAAGGCAATGGCTGGAGGACACAGGAACGGTGACAAGGATGTGTGTGTGCAAGGACAGGTGGGCAGGATGGGGCTGCGTGGGGACAACGGGACTGCAGATCTGTGCAGAACCTGCCTGGAAGTTGGAGGACATGAGAGAACGGGCTGCAATGCTTGTCAGGCCAGGGCGCCTTGGTGGGGCAGCCGTGCTGCTGAAACTGCCAAACTTCAGCAGACTTGGAGCTGCCCTGCCGAAGGCACACGAAGGCACGGGGGCACAGGGAAGGATGGGCTGCTCGGGGGATACCTCCGCCTTTTGCAACCCCGTGTCTTGTTCTTCACCTAGGAGAGCCCCACTTTCTGATGAAGAGTCTAAAACAAGCAGCTCCCAGCACTTGGGCTCTCAAGACTTTTGCGTCAGCAGCAGCCTTTCCAAGGTGAGCTCCTTGTGTGTGTGGCCGGGCCCAAGAAGTCACTTCTGTGATGGGGCAGGTGAAGCAAGAGCGTTCATCCCAGTCTGAGCCCTCTGGGCTCTCTCTCCCAGAGGGATGTGCCTGGCTGCAGCATGGGAGAAGCAACACTCTGCTTTGGCAAAAGCTGTTCACTGCTTGCCCATACGTGGTCATCTCAATGTCTTGTGGGGCCCTACAGAGTGGAAGGTGTTGTCTCCTTCGCAGTTGTGCCACTCTAAGGAGCATCTTCTCCCTTCTTGCTGCAGGTGGAGCTCACAGCAGTCAGCGGTGGTGGCAGCAGTGCCCAGGGGCTGGATGCAGACGGCAAGGTGGAGGAACAGCTTGGTCCCCAACTGGAAGAGCAGCTGCCTGATCCCAACCCAAGCCCAGAGTGTGTGGGAAAGACTGTGAAAGAAGATGATGCCCTGGGCCCTCTGGCAAGCCAGGGGGATGGCAGAGGGCAAGAGCCAGCAATCCCCAGAGCTGCAGAGCAGGAGGGCACTGGTGCTGATGCTGCCCGCGCGCCTGCAGATGCTCACAGCGACAAGCAGGCCACTGCCCCTACAGCCTGCTCGGCAGCTCCAGGGAGCGAGCCGACTGCGAAGGAGAAAAGCACCCCAAGCACTGGAGCACAAGCGCTGGGAGTGCTGGCGGAGGGGACATTATCCGTGGTTGCTTCCAGCTGCAACACCTCAGCCTCCAGTCCGGCTACTTTCACACTGAGTAGAGTGTGCTTTCCCACGTCTCAGGCCCCTGCTATGCAAAAAGTGCCCCTGTCTTTTCAACCTGGGGCAGTTCTGAGCCCAAGCCAGCCACTAGTGTACATCCCTCCACCCAGCTGTGGGCAGCCGCTCAGTGTGGCCACGCTCCCAAGTACCTTGGGGGTCTCCTCCACGCTCACCCTCCCTGTCTTGCCTTCCTATTTACATGACCGTTGCCTGCCAGGAATTATTGCTTCCCCAGAGCTGCGCTCCTACCCTTACACCTTCTCTGTGACCAGACCTTTGACTTCAGATGCCAAAGTGGTGTCTGTGGAGGTGAGTCAGCTCACCTGCTCTTCACCTTCGAGTGGAAGTGTTGCCCAAGCTGTGGCTGATGCTGCTCCTGCATCCACAGCTGGCTCTTCCCTCTCATCCAGCCAGCCTCCAGCAGCAGCCCCATGTGGAAGCAGTGCTCCTTCGTCGGGCACTGGTGCACACGCCAGAGCCCCGGGTGCTCCTGAGCCTCAGGCGCAGGGGGCTGCCACTTCACTTTCTCCTCTGAAGTCCCCTCCGCAGCTAGAGCGTGAGATGGTCTCTTCTCCAGAGTGCAGCGAGATGCCTCTCGATCTCTCCTCCAAGTCCAATCGCCAGAAACTGCCTCCACCCAGTCAGCGCAAGACACCTCCGATGCCCATCCTCACGCCCGTGCACACCAGCAGCAAAGCGCTGCTCACCACGGTCCTCTCCAAGTCGCAGCGTGCCGCCCAGAGCACCGGCAGCAGTGTCACCTCGTGCCTGGGCACCACCCCGCCTTTTGTCATCTTCCCCGAGTTCCTGCGTAACGGGGAACAGGGCTCCTGGGTGAAAAACACCACGCTCATCAGCACCATCCCCGGCACCTACGTCGGGGTGGCCAACCCTGTGCCCGCCTCGCTGCTCCTCAGCAAGGACCCCGGCGTCACCTTCAGCAGGGACCCTCGCCACCTTCCCAAGCAGGAGCCTATTTCCATCGTCGATCAGGGAGAGCCTCGAAATGCTGGGAATCCCTGCGGGAAGAAAGCCAGCCAGGGCAGTGCAGAGGGACAGCAGGATCCTGCTAAGAGACTTCTTCATGGCAGAGTTGCTTCAGGAGCTCCTTTGTGCCCATCCAAGGACATCTCTACTTGGAATCCTGGCCAGGCGAGTGTTTACCCCCGTTGCCCGGTAAATGGGAAACCTTCCAATCCTCAGCTTCTGCCTCTCGGCTGGTCTCCTTATCAAACGCCTCTGCTTTCGATCGGCATCTCCACCGTGGGGCAGCTGCCCCCAAACCAGAGCAGCGCCTGCAAGCCCGCTGGGGCAGGGGAGCTCCCGACGCTGCCCAGCGTGCAGCCCGCGGAGTCTGGCACGGCAGCGCAGAGCACACCCGAGGGGCTGCCCAGGCTCCCGTCTCTGGAAGCTGCCTCCAAGGGCAAGAACTGCCGGAATGTGCCCAAACTGTACGAGGAGCCTGCCAACCCAGCCCCCATGAATGCGGCTCCGGCCCTTCAGGCCAGTCCTGTGGACGTGAAAGGGGGAAAGGGGAAGCCAGAAAACCCGCAGAAGAGTCAAGAGGGTGGTGAACCAGAGGCTGATTCCGGCAAGGAGAGCAACGTACAGACTGAGGCTCCCCCAGGGAGCTGTAGCCTCAAACAGTCGGATGCAAAGCCTAAAAACCAGGTGCTGGCAGCCTATTTGTCTCACGACCTGCCCGCAGTAGGGCAGCAGAGCCAGCGAACGATTTCGGAGGGGCCTGGTGCCCCTGCGGAGAGTCAGCGCAAGGAAGGGGGCTGTGAGGGCTCCCAGGAGCAGCCGGCTGCGGAGCCACCCCAGTGCGTGCGTCAGGTGGATCTGTGCAGGGTCAAGAAGGAGCGAGTGGAGTGTGACATGTCGTTCCCTCCCGCAGCCTGCCTGCGAGCTGGGGCTGCTGCCCAGGCCTTTCCTGAGGTCAAGCTCAAGGCTGCGGGCCAAATCAAACAAGAGGGCAGCGCGCGCTGCAAGACCAAGCGGCAGCATGATGGGGATATCAAGCAGCCTCACAAGAGACTCAAATGCAAAGCCCAGGACAGTGAGGAGCCTGCAAGCAGATCAGGGAGCCGGAACGTGCATGGCAGGAAGGTGGGTGAGAGGTTGCGAGGAACGGTCTCCAAAGCCCAGGAGGCGGGTAGCTGCCAGGTGTGGGCTCTGTCGGGTTATCAAAGAGGTTAGGAGTGAGGAAGCAGCTCTCACTGGTGAGAGCAGCTCACTGCACAGAGCTGGGGCTTCTTGGTGTTAACCTGATAGTGGATTAATATCTGAAAGACCAGGATCTACAGGCTTTCTTAGGCAAATTCTGCATATCTGCAAATTCCTGTGTTGTATGTGGGGGTCAAAGATGCTGAAGGGCAGCAGCATTGACTGGGGTGGGACAGCATTTTGACCTCCCTTCTCCTTAGCTCCTCCAGCACGGTTTGTTGGCAGTGCAAGCTTCAACCTGCGTCTTCCATTCGCAGTGGCGAAAACACCACGATGACCTGCACGAAATCAGCCAGCGAGAAGGCCGAGCTGGCCTGGGGTCAGTGAAAGATCACAACAGCCTCAGACTGAAGCGTAAGCGCAGGCGGCCGTCGAAGACAGAGTTCCCATCACCAGCACATCGCGGGGACAGCCACGAGGAAGGTACTAATGTGACGTTAAGGTGGCAATAGGTCCTCACTCTGTCCAGCTGCACCACTTGCTTTAGCGCCAGCGCTCTCCTTCCGTGGAGCCAAACTGCAGTTCTCCTACAACTGCATGGCTCTGGAGCTGGGTGCTTCCTGCAGCGGATTGGGATTCTACATGGGGCTGAAATGTGGTGCTAGGCTGCCCTCACCAGGCCTGCAGTTTTGCTTGTGCAAAATCCCCTCTGCCTTTTCGTGACTTTGTTCCTCAAGGCTCTGTTATCCCAACAGGTTGCCTTGAGAAGAAGCCCAAGAACAACTTCCGTGATTTCATTCCAGTGGTGCTGAGCAGCCGGACGCGGAGTCAATCAGGTGAATCTTTGCCACGGGTTCCTGGACACGGAGGCATCGCTGCTGAGCAAGGGCAGGGTACGCTGCTGCCCTGCCTGATTGAATGAGTCCTGGGGTGGAATGGGAGCACTTCTCCTTCTGCATGGCCTCGTTTCTGTCTTCTGTCCTGCCCCAAAGGGCTTTCTCTTGCTGATGCCCTTGGCTTTTCTTGTCAGTTAGAAATTTCACTTTCTTTCAGGAAGCATTGCTGGCTCTTCTGCTGGCTTGACGGGGGAGTGTGATGCGACTGGTCAGGAGATTTTACCATTGGAAGAGGATCAGGAAGAAGAAGAGGAGGAGGAGGAGGAGGAGGAAGAAGAAGAAGAAGAAGAGGACGAGGAGGAGGAGGAAGAAGAAGAGGAGGAGGACGAGGAGGAGGAGGAGGAAGATACGTCCTTGAAATGTCGCAAGCTGCGAAAATCCCACAAGACATCGCGCTATCACAGTCGCAGGGCCAGGGACAGGTCTCTGTCAGAGAGGAGCAGCTGCCACTTGCGGAGGGCCCGGGACCAGCCCTGGAGAGTGGAAGCGCCCAGGCAACTGTGGGAGCCCAACGAGGAGGAAGACGACGACAGCTACATCAGAAGAAAGAAAAGGAGACGGCAGAAAAGTCGGAAATACCAAACAGGGGAATATTTGACCGAGCGAGAGGAGGAACAAGTGGGCTACCCTCACAGGAGGCGAAAATCCAAAGCAGGTACAGCCTGGGAAGAGGTGTCAGGTGCTATGCACCTGGACCCTAGGCCATATGCATATATAAATATATGCATATATATATATATATATATGCATATATATATATATATAGTGATGGATTTTGTCGTTACAGCTAAGGGTAGTCACTTCAGCTGGTCAGCTCTTTAAGGCATATTTGCAGTATGTTTTAGGGTAGGGAACACCTCCTTGTGTGGTTAATTTGGTACTGATGCTACCCTTGGATCAAGGCAGAATTGGAGCAAATAGCATAGTAAATTTTTTTCCTAGATAAGCACAGACCCCTGGGAGGTCTTCTACATTCCTGGCTAAAATAGAGAGAGGTGTTTAAGTTTTGTTTTGTTCAATCAAGTTAACTTGCAAGTCTGCACTGCAGAGGGAGAGGGAGAAGATTGACAAAGTCAGCGTGTTGCACATGGTGCTGTGGTTCATATTTGCAGCTTTGCTAAGAGGAGAAGTCTCTGCTGCTGCCTGTCGTGCTGCCTTTGGTACATGTTTCCTTCTATAACTGCAATATCTCCTTCAATAACTCCTTCAAAACTAAATCTATGTGATCTCTATTTCCCTGAGGTTTAGTGGTCTCCTTTTCCTGGATGTTTTGAGTTATCCAACTACCAGCCAGCTGTCTCTGTCCGTTCAGAGGTATTTTGAGATGGTTGGAAGCAAGGATGGTGTTCATCCATACATGTCCAAATGTGTGTGTTGACACCAGGTACGTGTTGCTCTGCCTGAGCTCTCCTGCAGGTTACTTCTAGCCGTGTTGCAGAAGAGCCTGCCCCTGCCGCAGTGTCTTTCTGTGCCCAGCCAGGCAGTGACATATGTACCTGTTGCCTTCTGCCACGCCACCTCAGCGCTCAGGCTGACGGTCCTCAGGAGAAGCTGAGATACTGCAAAGGGGCAGCCTCAGTGAGGTTGGGTTGGAAAGCCAGGGTGCTGTGATTCCAAGATCTTGTTCCTTGCATGGTCTGAATCAAGCAGCTGACCAGATGTGATTTTTTTCAATGAATGTGCTTTCTTTAAAGGTAAGACTGTTGACTGGGATGCTTAGCTAGCACAATGCCTGCTAAACTCTGTTGTTTCAGGTTGGTCACAGGGTTTCTCTTGTCTCCTACCTCTCAGTATGTCTAAAAACCTGCTCTGGGCTGTTCAGAGCGGGTGGGAAGCCAACTGGGCATTTGCTTTTCTTACTGGTGTCTCTGTAGTCTCAGATTTGTGTGCTTTTAGACCACTTTCCTCCTACTATGTGCTTTCCAAAGCTTTGTGTGGAGTCAGTGGCAAAGTTTCTAATCGTCTTCTTGGCATTTTTGCATTGCTTTCTATGAAGTCTCTTATACCATCTCCCACTGAAGTTCAGCAACATTTGGAGGGATTTCTTTTCTTTCAGGTATCTGATGTCCACCTCAAAGGTGTCTGTCCTCTCTCAAGAGTGCTTCCATAGCCAGCTTCCCTCAGATACTGTGTGGTTACTTTGTTTTCAGATGCTTGAGCTTCTTTATTTTGGATTCTGGTTCAGCTCA